AGGCTGGAGGGTGTCAGGAGTGGGATTCTGGAGTGGGCGCTGAGGGGCGACAGACAGTTTTGCCAACTACCCCGTTTACCTCTAAGCTGGAAGAGACAGTGGCCAAGCCTCCAGGCCCCAGGACAGAAGCAGCTCCTCCCTTCCCCAGTCTGGTGGAGGGTACTGGCTGACCAAGGAGGCAGCAATAGACTGTGCAGAGGAAATGCCATTTTGGATTTGGGCACAGATTCCAGGGGTGGAGAGGCTACCTGGCCGATATCTCTGGGCCTCGCCTCACTCCACCACCTTATACATTCATTCAACAAGCATTTCCTGCCACCTATCCTCTGCTAGCCCCGTGCTGAAAGCTCCTGCTTGGTGGCACATGGGAGCCCTCCCAAAAAACAGCCCCACCACATGCCCCTGGGCTGTCTGAGCTGCCACATCTCACAGGCTTGAGCAGAAGCAAGACTGGAAGTTTCCTCTGCGTCCCTAACTCCTGTCCAACCCAGCCCCTCAGCTCTGGAGCCTTTTCCATGTGGAAGCCATGTATATTTTTCACCTCCCATCCCCACCCCAATATGGCCGCTGAAGGCAGAGGGCAGAGCCTGGGACCTGGCACTGTTCCTCATTAGGTCCCAGCATTGGGCAGGGGGCCAGGAAGACACAGCAAGGTGTGAGGCCTTGCCTAGAGAGGCATGGGCAGGGGCAGGGCGCTCTCCACACCACAGCAGTTCTGCTTGCCTAGGCCTGCTAGTACCCACACCGAGCGTTCCCAAGTGGTCCAGTCACTGCCCATCCTACCCCAGGTGTGTGTGTGCTTTTGTGCATCTGTGGGACAGCTCTGGGTGGGGCACGTGGGTCTCTGGGGTTGTGTGTTTGGGGGTCTATGTGTACATCTCCAGGTGGTTTCTCTGGGGGTTGTTGCTTCTGTGTGTTTGTGTCTGTGTTTCTGGGTTGCTAGGTTGCACTTGTGTTTTTCTGGATGTGTGTGTGGTGTCTGGGAGCATCAAGACTGTGTGTGTTGTGGGGTTCTCTGCGTGTGTGTGTGTGTGTGTGTGTGTGTGTATAGAGCGAGTATGCATTGCAGCCGCAAATTCAGGTGTGAAAAAATGTTGCAACTCTTGTTTACTTTAAATGCCATTAAATCACATCTGCCCCTCATCCTTCCAGTGGGAGCAGATTTGACCTCGGTCCCCTTGGAGCTCCCTGTCCAGTCCCTTCCCAGATTCTTGCCCAGGGTAAAGCACTGGGGGGTCCCTCTGGTGTGCTTCCCACAGTGGCTGCTTGTCCTGTAGGGGCTCTGCCATCTCTGGGCCAAATGTGGGTAGAGGATCTCACAGGCTGGAAGCTGAGAGTCCTGGGGCCCTGCCGGCTGAACCCCCAACATGCCACCCTGAGTGGTCCTGGGGGTTGAGAGGGAGCAGTGCTCAGGCGCTCCTCAGAGTATTCACCCACTCCTACCCCTAAGGCTTGGGGGCACCATCCCTCTCCTGCGACTTTGTCTCCCACCCCTTAACTCAGAATATTGAGTCTCTGGAGTTTTGTTCCCCTTTGTCTGTGATGCTGGGGTGTTTGGAGGACTCCAGGTTTAGGGATGGGAGTGGCATGGGCGCCCTGTCAGCTGGGTGGGCTGTCAGTGGGAGTTGGGGACTGGAAAGGCGGAGAAAAGACGGATGCAAGAAGCAATGCTGGCAATTTATTGCAACAGATATGGCCCATGGACCCAAAGTGCCCTCCACCGATGTGCCCGCTCCCATGGCTGCGGGATCCACTACACGGGCCAGCACTCATGCTTTAGGAGTCTGGTGGTGTTCTGCCAGGGAACGACTAGGATCTCAAATTCGCAGCGCAGCGTCTGCAGATGGAGCACCAGGAAAGAAGGAGGGATGAGCCTGGGCCCGGGCCTGCCTCCTCCCAACACTCAGCCCTCTGCCCCCAAGGAGGGGCAGTCCTGGCCCAAGGACATGGAGTCTGGTGGCCAGGACTAGATCCCAGGTTTTTCTAGCCCACTCCCTCACTCCAGGGGGAAGCCCCAATCTCCTCTCTGCACCCCACCCTGGCCTGGAGATGAGTCACCCAGGAGGCAGTGACAGGTTCAGCCAGGCATCAGTCTGGCCAGCCAGACCAGTTCGGGCTGGACAACTTGAGGCCCCAGATGCTGGGATGTGTGTGTGTGTGTGGGGGGTGATGTGAGCAGGCTGTTACCTCCTCCTCGGTTCCTGCGGCCAGGGGACAGGTGGTGAGATCTATGCGGTCTCCAGCCACCGCACTCTTCCGGCAGGCTGTACTCCCCATCTCCACGGTCAGGTAGTACTTGATGCCAGCCACCAGCTGGGACGGGAAGCAGGGGCAGGTTAGAGATGCTGGCAAACTACCCCCACCTGAAAATCTCACCTCTCTCCACAGCCATCCCCCATTCTCGTCCCCTGGACACATCCAGCACACTGGCCTCAGGATTCAGACCTGGGACAGGGGTGTCCTGGTGGGGAATCCCTGGGGGGAGAGGCAGAGGCCTGGACCCCGCAGAAGGCTGAGACCCAAGTGTGCACCAGGTTCTGAAGCTGCTGCCTCATCTCCCTCCCCAATCAACCCCGCAGGGAAGGGACTAGAGCGAGGCTAGAGAGGTAGCTCTCAGGGTAGGATCCTGTCTACTTGAGATTTAGATATTTTGTTCATAGTGGAATCTTGGCATTAATTCGATTTTTAAAACTATATTGCTAAAATATTATCCTGATGACTCCTGCGGCTCCCCCTTAATCTGGCGCCCAGCTGAGTGCCTCACTCCCCTGCCCCGACCCGCGCATCGCCCCCCAAGTCCTGCCAGCCCAGCCGCACCTGGCTCTGCGCCTTGAGGATGTGCGTGTCTCGGAAGTAGTAGAGGCTGTTGCTGCCCATGTTGTAGGTGGCCACGGCCGCCTGCGCCGCCTTCACCACCTGCGGGTCGCTGGTAGACAGGTCTTGCAGTCCTCCGACCATACGCTCCCGCTCCCCCGGCCGGGCCCGGGCATCGAGAGGCAGCGCCAGGAGGCAGACCGTGAGCAGAGCCAGGCCCAACGCCAGCGGGAGTTTCGGACACGCCATGGTCGTCAGTGCCCAGCAGTGGCCCGTGCCGCTTTTACGGGCTTCGAGGCTCCGCCCGGTCCCGCCCGCGCGCCTCTGTGTGCCCGCGGGGGCGCGGATGGGCAGGCAGGGATTCTGGGTCTGGGCGGTCTAGGGACAGACCCCAACGCCAACGGGAGCAGCACACAAGCCCCAGCACGCCTATGTGCCATGATGCTTGCCCTGCCCTCTAGGACACACCCAGTCCTGTGAGGGAAAGGACAGCCACAGTTTCCAAGTGCCACAACTGGGTATGAATATCCATTCAATATGAAATACCAACAGCTATAAGCGCGCTCTCACTATTACCACCATTTACTACTGTGTAGCCTTGGAGAAGTTACTTAACCTCTCACACAGGGCCTCAGTTTCCTCCTGTTAAATGGGGATTCAATAGGTAAAGTGCTTAGAGGGGGCCTGGCGCTATGTAAACCAAGTAGGGACATTGCTACATTGAGCTGGTAGCTAGCCGTTTAACCCTCACGACCAGCATGGAGTGGGAATACGCAATGTTTCCACTTACCAGAAGAGGAAACAGGACTCAGAGGGGACAGCTGAGTTGCCCAAGGACACCAGCTGGTAAATAGTAAATGATGATGCTGGCTTTTGAGCCTGGGCCGTCTAACTCAGGTCTGTGCTCTTAGCCAGACTGAGACCGAAGGCTGAGAACTGGTCACGAGAGGTGCGTGTCATACCAGCTCTGCCACTTACTGACTGGGTGACTTCTGACAAGTCCCTCCACCTCCCAGAGCCTTGGTGTCCTCATCTGAAGAAAGGCGACAACTCTTATCTTCTAAGTTTATTCTATTAATGGCCTGAGACTGGATCAGGTAAGTTGGACATGTCCTGGACGTACCAGCAAAACAGGGCACTATGACTTTTGGGGGATAATCTGATAATTAATACATTTAAAAAAGCACTGAAGCAGTCAACACAGGCGAAGTCTGGATTTTGTTGGGATTCTTTATCTGTATTTTAGAGATCAACAGTTTGTACTTTTCATCATGTTGTTGAGAGGAGGCGGGCTCTTTGCCTTTGGGACCCTAAAACCTGGTCAGTGCTTAGGGCCAAGGATCTTAACTGGGGCTTGGAAGAGGTGGTGGTTTATAGTGTGTGACAGATAGTTGGTGCTTATTAAGTGGTATTACAGTTGACCCTTGAAAACATGGGTTTGAACTGCATGGGTCCACTCATGTGTGGATTTTTTTCAGTAAATACTGTAAATGTATTTTCTCTTATGATTTTAACATTTTTTCTCTAGCTTACTTTATTGTAAGAATACAGTATATAGTACATATAACATTCAAAATATATGTTAATCGACTATGTTATCGGAAGGCTTCGGGTTAATAGTAGACTCTTAAGTTTTGAGGGAGTCAAAGTTATATGCGGATTTTTTACTATGGGGGGCAGGGGTCATTTGTGTCCCTAACTCCAGGTTGTTCAAGAGTCAGCTGTATTGTGATGAGTATTATGAGTAAGCATCCAGCATTCCTCAGGACCAGAGTGTGGCCACTGCCCAATCCAGCTGCTACCCCACCCTCTCAGCCCAGCTGTGAAAAACAATCTTGGGATTCCAAGGAACAGTCACAAGTTTGCTGGGGTTCAGGTGTCTACCTTAAAGGGACAGAGCCCAGTTTGTGGGAGAGCTGGTGTAAGCGTGGCTTGATGAGACCAAAGCCAGGCAGGAACCCAACCTGAGAGAAGCCAGGACTGGAAAAACTAAGGGGCCTAGGAATTCAACATGGGAGAGGCGGGAGGGGCAGCCCCAAAGGGCCAGAAGCCTCCTCAGGCTCTCCCAGGTCTGCTCTTCTGTCACTTGGAGTTCAGCCATGGCCATACTTACCTCCAACCACTCCCTGGAAAACTAGCCAAGGCCCCGGTCCCCAACTCACTTGCCTCTGTCCTGTCACTCCTCTGTACTGACGCTGATGAGTCTTGCATCCTAAACTAACAATTACCAAAGACCTTTCACCCACTGGTTTATTCTCACAAGCACCAGAAGTAGTAAGCATCATCCTTATTTTGCAGAGGAAGCAAGTTGATCACAGAAGTCATAACACTTGTCTAAGGTCACACAGCTAGAATTGGTGTCTTGGTGAGAAAAGAGGGATAGAAGAGAAATGAATGATTACTGGGTTCTTGATATGTGTCAGGCTTTGTGCCAGGGATCCAACATGTTCTCTGATCTCATAACAGCTCTGCATAAACAGTGAATATTACCTTCTACAAGGAAGAAATGGAGGAGGCAAAGGCAGTCAGTGGTGGGGTCTGGGGTGGCACCCATGTGTCAGCGTCCTAGTGTGTGAGTCCCGGACTTCACTGGGATATGAGGTCTGCTGTGCAAGGGGAGTGTCCCTGGAGGTGGGGTACTCCAGGAGGATTTCCAGGGCTGGGTCTCATCTGAAGAACCCTTAGCCTGGACTCCACCGTCTGGACCACTCTGGCTCCTGGAAGGAGGCCTGAGCAAGGTGTGAGCTTGGGGTTGACCATTCCCACTGGCCACAGGGCACAGCCTTGGTTTGCTGTGGCCAAGATATCCCCACCAAGGGTGCCCATGGCACCTCTCTCTTGCCCCTGGCCTATGGGTCTCACTGATGAGGGTGGGCCCTTGACATTCCCTTCACCCTGGGATCAGGCCCCCCAGAGCCCTCGTCATTGAACCTTTGGCTGTGGATAGTCCTTCCGCAGGGCTCTGCTCCTGTTTCCCTGTGGGACCGGGACCTTATGGCAGGGGAAGCTGCGATCCAACCGTGACTAAAGCTCCCCGAAGTAGAGGAGCTCTCCTAAGCGCGGGGACTTTCCAGGGACTAGCTGGTTGAATCTTTACAATTCTGCACAGCTGACAGAAGACTGAGGCTCAGAGCAGCGAGGCACCTTGCTCCAGGTCACACAGCCACCAAAGGAGGAACTGAGACCAGAACCAGGCCTGGCCGGCTCTTTCAGGCTACCACCAGTCCAGGCCAGGAGAAACAGCAGAGAGAGCCCTGGGTCCCTGTAGGGAGGGGGCAACATGGAAGGGAAGTTGACAGTCATGAGCATGTACTGAGGCTTTCACACCATCTGGACTGCCACTGGGGCGCAGGGGTCGGCAAACTTTTGAGATGGAAGAGCTGCCAGGGGTCAGCAAACTGTGGCTCGAGAGCCGCAGTCTCTGAAGTAAAATTGAAAATGAAAATAAAATTATCATAGTTTCATTTACAAAATTTTTAAAGGATATTATTCACATAATGGTGATTATGTAAAAATATATTTATGGCTCTTGAATAATTTTTAAATTGTTGTGAGGAACAGAATTGGCTCTTCCAAGGGTCAGCAAACTTTTGAGATGGAACATACCCAAAGAGCCGCATGTGGCTCGTGAGCCGCAGTTTGCTGATCCCTGGTTTAGGGTTTGAGTTCATCCTGTAGCCTCCCCTACTTCCCTTCCAGGGGCAGCAGGACACCTTCAGGACCCTGGAGTGCATGGGTTGGGTTCACCCCAAGCTCTGGGCCAGATCAGAGCACTCATGATTAGACTGGCTGAGGGTGGTCAAGCTCTGGCTGGGTGCAGCAGCAGGAGAGGGCTGGTCGATGACATTGGGTCAATATTTGCTGACTTCCAGGCTCATCTATGCCCCTTGCCAAGCATGTCTTGTTGGGCAATGAGCACTGATATTTAGATAACCTATCTACCTAGGTCTGCTTTCTCCAACATCGCAGACCTGGGGCCCTTTGTCCTACTGGCAGAGTTGGGGTTGGATCTGAGAGGCCACACTGTCTCAAGGTACGTTTTGGATGTCCTTTGTCTCCTGCTGTTCCAGGACTGATCCAGGAAGCTGTGTGGGATGCACACAGGGACCAAGATAAAGGGTTCGGGCCTTTCAAACCTGTTACAGGTGCTTACGCCTGAGCCCCAAGGTAGGTGAGAAAACAGGCTCCAGCCCCCTCAGAGATAAGGCCTGTGGGTGAGGCAGGAAAGAGCCCGCGACGAGGTAGCAGAGAAGCAGTGCATCCCACAGGGTTCTGCCAGGGAGGCCCCAGTGCCAGAGCTACGGGCAGCAAAACTGGGCAACCAGCGTGGGCAGGACCCCGGGAAGGCCACTGTGGAGGAGGATCCGGTCTCCATTACCTCACAGAGTGCCAGCAACAACCTGGCAGCATCCAGGCAAGTGGTGGAGGCCCCCCAAGCACCGCAGGCCTGGGTGATCTGGAGTGTCACTGGACCCAACCAGGAAAACATCAGAAATGTAGTAGGCCTGAAACTCCTGGAACAGCCTGCTTTACCACCTTGGTCTGTGCTTCAGACTGGCACCCTCCCAGGTGGCCTGTAACACAAGCTGGGCCCTGCTCTGGCCCCCTGGTGCCCTTCCAAGGGAGCCACTCACACTTCCCAGACCCAGCCTTGCTCAGAATCCTCTTCCCTACCAATAACCATCCTAGTTTCCAACTACTCGCATAATTGCTTTATACAGGGTCTTTATTTTGGTTTCCCTCTTATCCTCCTTCTATTGAGACAGAGCTGATGTCAAGTACACAGATCTGTTCACTTTACCAGTCGATGCCTGTATTACCACCACAGTTCAAGAAATGGAAACTGCTTCTCCCACCCCCAGGCTGCCCCACTCACCACACCCATGTCCCACCCCCAAAGGCCATCATTGTTGACTTTTGCAATAAGCATTTCCTTGCTTTTCTTTCTAGTTTTACCACCTACCTAGCAATCCCTAAGCAAGAACTGACTTAACTTTACATGAATGGAACCACACTACTTGATGTTTGCTCAGTATTGAGATTCATCCTTGTACACAGCTGTCGTAAATTCATTTCTTCTGGTATTGACAGCCATCAGGGTTCTTCCAGCTGAGGGTTGTTAGAAAAAAAGCAGCTATGAAGGCTCCCAAAGGTGCTGGAGCAGGTGTATGAATGTCCTCGGTCATAGATCCAGAGCAGTGGAATAGCTGGGTCACAGGGTTGGTCTTCAGTTTCACTAAAAAACTGTTTTTCCCAAGTGTTCAGACCAATTTACATTCCCATCAGCTGGATATCAGTTCCTGTTGCTCCATTTCCTCATCAGTATTTGGTATTGTCTGGCTTTAATCTTTTTGCCAATCCAGTGAGTGTATAATAGCACCTCATTTGCATTTCTGATTACTAATGTAATTGTTTTGTTTGCTTTTTCTTCACCAGTTATGTATACCCTATGGATAGAGTTCTGTCATTTGTGTGTTGCAAATATCCTCCCCCACTCTGGGTCAGTCTTGTTTGTCACTCTTATGGTATCGTTAGATAAGAGTTTCTACTAATGGAGTTGAATTTATCAACTTTTTAATTTTTCCCTACCCTGAATTCATGAAAATCTATCATCCCAATTTTTTTTTAAGATTTCATTGAGTAATCAGGGAAGGGGAACAGAGGAGTTGCTGTCCTTTTGTTCCCTCAGTCTAGCTGTGGAGGACGTTGCTTCACTGGCCCATGTTGGTACCATCATTGCGCTCTTCCAAGGTGAGGCAGTCGCTTGCCAGCCACTGGAGGGCCCCTCACGAAGCTCACACCCGCTGCCAGCCAGCCCCACTGTAGCCTAGCCTTCACCAGTGACTCAGGGCAGCCCAGCTCCAGGTTGAGCTGTTGTTCAGCATCTTAGCTGTAGAGGATAGTGTCACTGGCCCTCATGTGGGATCCGAACTGGGGCCCAGCTGTTCAGAGCCAGCGCTCCCAAGCCAACTCCTAACCAACATGCCACTCAGCCACCCCTATTATCCCAATTTTTGTATTTATTATCTGTCAGTCTCTTCTCACCAGACTGTAAGGCCTCTGAGGAAAATCCTATACGCAGCAGTTCCTCAACAGGCCCTACCGAAGGACTGAAAGCCAAGCAGGGCTGGGTGCTGCACAGCTAGTGTTTCATCTGATCCACACAACAATCTCATTTTCCAAGTGGGGAAACTGAGGCTCAGAAAGGCTGAGTGACATGACCAAGGAACATAGGGCTCTCAGGTACATGGGCTTCTAAGTTATGTTTTAAGGGCCAGTCAGGGTACTTCCTGCAAAGTTCAAGGACATAATCACTTAGTCTCTCTGAGTCCCTGCTTTCCTCACCTGTAAAAGAGAAAATAATTACTTACTGTGAAAGAAAAGAGTATTTGTCAAGATCTTAGCTGTGGGGCTGGTTCCCTAAGTGTTTAACCAAAGACAGGATAAAAATGTACCAGATAAAAGTGTAACTCACTTCACGCTCTCAGCTGTGATGCCCATGCTCTTTCCGTCCCCGAGAGCAGACGGCAAGGGCCCTGCCCACTCCTCCCAAAGGCCAGGAATGCACATGACAATAAGCAGGTGAACTTTTACCGACATTCGTTCCCCCTCTTCCTGATACCTCTGACTCCCACTGACTTTTCCACCAGGTGCTGGCTAGCCCAGCTACTGACTCAACTGACATCTGGAATAGCACAGCACACCTGGATACCAGGAAAGGACCAACCTACACTCGCTCCCATTTTACTACAGGATTGAGGCACCTGCCCGAGGCTTATATGGCTAGGGTGGCTGCCCTCCCGAGTAGGGCGGAAGCTGCCAATTTCGACATGCACTGATAAGGAGTGTGACAGACCTGATCAGCCCCTGGGGAAGGGGCAACTCCCAGCCCACCTGCTTTTCAACCCACAAAACCCAGTCTTGAAAGGCCACTGACTTTATTGATTTAAAAAACTTTATAAGGACAATGACTGTTCTGCCAAAAGAGAAGCCAAATGGCATAAAACAGACCAGAGATTAAGGTGGGGGTAAAGGAAGGGGCCAGGAATCCACTCAGAAAAGCTGGTAATTATCGACACGAAATTGGCAAGGGAAAGAGAAGGGAGATGCATGCAAGAGGCAGAATTCCAAAAAAGTTGAAATGGTGAGGGGAGAGAACTCCCTGAAGACCTTGGAGGGCGTTGGAGGTTGAGGAGGCATCAATCCTTTGTAGAGGACTGGGGAGGAGCCCCCACTCGGCTGCAAACTCTGGAGACTCAAGGCTGGGGCTAGAGATTGGGGGCTCCCCAGAGAGCATCACAAAAAGGCGTCACACCACTCTCGAAGGCACCCGAAGCAGTCCCGGGACTGCTTGGCGTTGGCGCCACATGTGTCCTTTAGCCATTCCCGGAAGAGGTCTTCATCTTTCTTTAGCACCAGAAACTGGCCAAGGACCACATAGGCCTGCAAAACAGGCAAAATAAAGGGCATGCTGCTCAGTGTTCTGTGGGACTAAGAACAAGAAGGCCACTTCTGTGGCATTCAGAGCACATGAGCCTAGGAAGCAGTCTCTGGCTATCTCTTCAGATTATATCCCACTGTCCACCCCCAACAGATACACTCACTTTCCTCAATTCCAAACTGCCAGGCAACACTGTAGTTTGCCACCCCCAGCCCTCCCCAGCTGCATGCAGCCTCCGCATACCTTGTCAAAGCCCCTTTCCTCCAGCTTCTTGCCCAGGACTTCACCAATCCCAGCCAGACTCCCCACTGGTTTTTCCCCCATGGGCTCTGCCACAAAGTCTCGGTGCTTTTGGGAGGTTGTCATCTTGATCAGGATTAATCTGGGAATCCCAAGAAAAGGTTGGTTAGGGTTAAAAACCCGAGAACTCCTAAAGACCCACTGGCAATCCCATATTAAAAGGAAGCTAGACCAACGATTACGGTGGCTTATTAGAGTCCTCTCATTTCACGGATGAGAAAACTCATGTCCAAGGAAAGTTTTCCCCACTACTCAAGAGAGAAATCTCTCTCACTCCCTGCGGTAACTGGGTTTTGGTATTGCCCCAGAGGAAAGACTATCCTGCCCTATCAGGTGGCGCAGGCCGATCAGTAGCCAGGACTCGCCCTGAAGGTGTCACTCCCTCTTTGTGACCTTGGCTGGGCAAAAAAGGCACTGACTCTGCCTGGAACGGCTACCTAGCCTGAAAAGTAAACAAAGGGTTCCTCTGCCCCACCCGCCCCCATGGGCTGTTCACAAAGCAAAGGCCGGAGCGCATACACCAGCTCCCCAGCCCCGCCAGGTTCACGCCTGGGTTCCCGCCGGGCCCCGCAGGCCCCGCCCCCGAAGCGCGCCGCCCCGCCTCCTCCACGCGCCACCGCGCCCACGCCCCTCCTTGCCGGGCCGCCAAGCCCGTTCCAAGGACGCATCCTCTGGCTGGCTGCAGCTTACGGCCCTTCTCCTCCCCGCGCCTCCTCTGGCCTCCAGTCCGAGCCCTGCTCCGTAGCTCGCGCTCACCGGCAACTCCAGCTCCCGTAACGGCTCCTCCTGCCGCCCGGATACTCCCGCCGATACCTCAAGCCACTAGAACTTTCTTCTACTTCCGCTTCCGGGTCGCCTCAAGAGCCGCCTAAAAAATGTGGCGCTTCTAGCCACTTAGAGCCATAGAGATGAGGCGCCCTGGACCTCCACGGCGGCCTTTGTAGGGGCGCCTTTCCGGTCGCTTCGCGGGAAACCGGGCTGCCTTCTATGGTCTCGCTTCTCTAGAAGTACTTCCGGTCTCAAAGGAGCAGAGGGGTCGGTGGAGAAAACTTTAGTTCTCCGCTGCACGGCCTCCGGAACTCAAGGACCTAGCCTTTGCCGACCTGGAGGTGGGAAGAGTTAAAGGAACGGACAAGGAGGGCGGGGAGCGTGGCCGCATGCTTCCGAGAGAGCACCGGAAGTACAGTGCTCGGAAGGGTCCGGTTCAGGTCGATCCCTGTCGCCCTCATCGCGGCGGCACTTGTACGAGTCCGGCAGGAGCTGAAGGCGCCTGAGATCTGTATCCAAGGTGACGCTACCGTCGTGATCGCCGGCAAGTTTCTTTTCTGCGAAGTGAGTCGTGGACGAACCGCTCCCAGCGAGCGTCCAGCCTGGAGAACGGAGTCGTTCCAGCAGCGCCCTTGGGAGAAGAGGGCCTGGAAGTAAGGGTGGGTCTCTGAGCGTCTTACCTCCGGGATAGGGAGGGAGGAGGGCAGGACACGGCAACTAGAGGTGACACTCGGAGTTTCTTTTGGAAACCACCAGTCTCGGTGGTGCCAGTTCTTGTCTTCTCAGAACCCAAGTCAGAAACATAGCAGATACCGCAGACCAAGCCGGCTTACCGCGACCATTAATGAACTCTTTCCTGACTTGGACCATCGCGGTGGTCTCCAAACTGGTCTCTTATCTGTAGTGTGTTGAGAGGTGAGCATCTGTGTTGTATGGCTGTGCTGAACTTGGAATGTACAGACATGTTGAGGAAGATACAGTTTATCTCTCACTCCTTCGTGAGCCGTTGCCAGAATGATTTATTTACTTTTTATGATTATGCCAGTACTTATGAAAACATGAGTTATTTTTATCGGCCGCACATTGCTAAATGCTTTGCTTACATCATTTCATCCTAACGACAATGTTCTGGCTATTATTAGCCTAGAAAAGTTAAACAATAAGGAATGTCAATGTAAGGACGTCCAAAGACTAAGATTTTTGTAAGAGTTTGAGTCAAACCCATGACCTGTGCCAGGGAGCAAGATCTAAAATGATCTGGAGAGTAACAGTTTTGCAGTTTCTTTTATGCATTAGAAATTAAGGAGGGGTCTAAGGAAGATAACACGAGGGTGGGAGAAAGCAGGGCAGGGATTGAATTACAGAGTAGTTAATGAGATTATGTGCTCTCTTTGAGGTTGGTCATGCCTTAGAGGGGTATTAGCTCACTTAAAAACCTAAAGAAGTTACATGCCTGGGGTGTGACTACCCATCAAGACCTGCCCATTTAGGAATTTATGATCGTATCACCCCATAAGGTCACTTTTTATGGAACCCCTTTTTTTTCATCCACAGGAAATAGTCAAGGTAGGATTTCAGCTCAAGCAATTAGAGTTTAGAGCCCACGCTCTTAACCAGGACACTGTGTCACTCCTCAGTAAAAAGTCCCTCCCCATCTTCAAAACAGTTCTGGGTTCTGAGCCTGCCAACCCAAGAAACTCAGGAATAGGAGTTGACAGCCTCTGTGTCCCTCACCCCCCAGGGCCAGGACCCAATATGTCTCAGGCCACCAAGAGGAAGCATGTGGTGAAGGAGGTGCTGGGGGAACACATGATACCCTCCGACCAGCAGCAGATCGTGAGGGTGAGTAGCATTGGGTACAAGCTACTCTGTCCCCCACCCTTCCACTCCCGTTGGGCCCCTGGGGTGGGGGAAGAGTGCAGTGTGGCTCAGTGGGTCTTTGAGCTAGCTGATGAGGCCGACTGGTTCTTGGTCTCTCCTGGACCAGGTACTCAGGACCCCAGGGAACAATCTGCATGAGGTGGAGACAGCCCAGGGGCAGCGCTTCCTGGTGAGCATGCCCTCCAAATACCGCAAGAACATCTGGATCAAGAGAGGTGAGAGAGCCCTCTAGGAGATAGAACCACTTCCAGTGACCTTGACTTTACCCAGTGCAAGCTGGACTGACTGTACCTTTTCTCTTTTCTACCTACAGGGGACTTTCTCATTGTTGACCCTATTGAAGAGGGAGAAAAGGTGAAGGCTGAGATTTCCTTCGTGCTCTGCAAAGACCATGTGCGCTCTCTGCAGAAGGAGGGGCTCTGGTAGGTTGTCCCCTTGGTCATTGGCCGCCTGATTTCCGGGGATTGACTTCCTCGCTGTGAAATTCAGGGAGGGAAGATCAATCATGGCATCCCAGGGAGGGACAGCTGGAAAAAGGGACAGCTGAGACCTTTCTGACCCTGGCTCTTCTCTTGGCACAGGCCCGAGGCCTTCTCTGAGGTGGCAGAGAAACACAACAGGAACAGGTGAGGATCAAGCCAGAGGATAGGGAAGACAGAAAATAGGGGTTCAGGCTTTGGTGCCTTGAAAGGAAAATAGAGCCTTCCTTTCTCCCTACCTAGAGTCCCTAGTGAGAGCTCCTCAGTATGTGGTTATGTGTATGCCTTGAAAGTCAGATGCCCTGGGTTAAAATCCTGGCTTTGTTACTTATAACTGAGTGACTTTAAGCTGGTTACTTAATCTCTTAAACCTGGATTTCCTCGCCTATAAAGGATTATGAGGATTAAAGGAGTTAATGTTTATAAAATTGTTTAGTATAGTGCCTGGTATGCAGCTGGGTCCATTGTGTGTTAGTTTCTGGTAGTAGAATCGTTATTATTAAAAACAGGCTCTGGGGCTGGCCGAGTGGCTCAGTTGGTTAAGAGCTCACTCAAGAGTGTGAACTCTGAGCAACAGGGTCGCCAGTTCGATTTCCCAGCCCAAGCCGAGCTGCTGCTGAGCTGCCAACAGGTGGCAGGATGGCTCAGCTAAAAAAAAAAAAAAAAGAGGGGAGGTGGGCTCTAGTAAACTTTTGAGGTGGGAGGTAGTCTTTGGCCTGTTTTCCTTGGCTAAGTTTTCCTGCTGCTTGCTGGGTCTTTCCCTGTCCGACTTGCTGAGCCCTGACTCTTGGCCAATGGTCCTCCTTTTGGTGGGGCTCCTTGATTACAGATCTGGTTTTCCCAGAAGGCATTGGACTAACTATCCTTTTCCCCCATGAAGCCAGAGTCAGCCAGAACTCCCAGATGAGACACAGTCGTTGGGAAAAGAGTCCAGCTCTGAAGATGATTCTGACCTGTTTGTTAACACCAACCGCAGACAGTATCTTGAGAGTGAGGAGGAGAGCGAGGAGGAGAAGGCAGCTTGAGACCCCAGGACCCACGACTCCTCTGGCTCAGAGACCAGCCCTCGACTCCCCTGAGCTTGGACATTCCCAGGGTACTCTGCAGATCTTTCCCCCTGGTGGGGACAAAGCAGGACCCCTCTCTGAACTGACCTTCTGACCTAGGAGAATTAAACCCCTGGTGGGTGACTTGTGCTGGTGTCCGAGTGACTCTCTGGAGGGAGGAGGGACCTGTGGTAAAGTTCAAAACTGCTCTTTGGTGGAGGCCTCATGGACAGGTGGGCTGAATGGGAAGAAATGGGGAGTGGCTGGGGTTTTTCCTAGGTGTGTTCTCCCTCTCGCTTACCGGGCACAAGGAGGCCCTGTGCTGTGCCTTCTTGCATGGATTTAATCACCGGGAACGGTCCCTTCATTGTCTGCTTGCAGTCAGTACTGATTCAGGGATTCAGGATCACAGCTGGAGGAGCTAGTGCCGTAGGACTTGCCTCTCAGAAACACTCAGGATGAATTTCACAGTGCCTCATGAGCTGTTTCCCTGCCTTTTTAGTCACCCATGACTGCAGGAGTGCCCACCTCCGTGCTGCTGTGTACATCCCCTGGTTGGTGGCATCCTTGTGGCCTCTCGGACCGTCACTCCTCAGCTCCCTTGTAACCCACATCATCCCACTTCTCCTTTGAAGCTTTTACTCTGGCTCTACACTCTCCCTCTTCCTCACTGGCATTGACCTTGTAGTCACTGCCCAGACATTGATGAGTTTAGTTTACCTCCAGGCTTAGAGTCTTCTACCCCCGCTTATGTCATTATTTTCTGCATGCATGGGTAAGCCTGTTCCACACTCTGGCCCCTTAGTTCCTTGATATCGCCATCACTAATGCTCCTGTCTTCTGTGGATAGATATTCCCTGGACCCCTGACATCCATAGAAATTGCAGCGCCTTTTGAATTCAAATACCTGTGCAGTCACTGCCTCTGGCCTTCTTCCTTACTTGCTCAACTACCCACTCTGCCAAAATTCTCTATCTTCATCCTCCAGCAGTGCCACATTCTCACTATTATCCTCCTGTCTTCCCTTCTGTCCTTGTACAGCATGGATTCCATGGTCCACACCCTCCACTCCCTGGTCTTCCTCCGTTGTCTTCATCTACTAAGACCTAATCTCGGCCACCCAACCGGTCACCTCTGTGCCTGCGCCCAAGTAGCTACTAGAGAAACCCGCCAACCTGACTCACTAGCTTTCCCTTCAGTTCATAATTACAGACCTCAGATGGACACTCAGCACTGCCTAGATCTGCTCTGGGATGTTGCATTTCAAAACTTGTGTGTTGTCTACCAACTCCCCCTCCCCCTGTTAGTTACCGCAGCTCATACTTCATTAAGAAATCGTAGCCATTGGGGGAACTCTCACTCCCCATTGCCAGCCCTGCAAATGTGTTCATGATCTCCCTGTCTTTTTACTTCCCGTTGTAATCCAATGGGATTTCATCTTTTCCTCATTTATCTGTTCATTCACTTTCTTTTCATGTTTGCTTAGTATCACTTTAAATATATGTATGTATGTGTATACGTGTGTGTGTTTTGTATACATGTTTAAAAACCCACGTGTGTGTGTATATATGTATATACACACAAAAAATGAACTTCAGATGAGGTAGATTTATATACATGTGTGTGTGTGTGGTCTATTTTTAACTCATCTGAAGTTTATTTTTTATGGAGATAGCTAACTTTTTTCCTAAAGGGATGACTACTTGTCCCTATACCATTTGTTGAATGGGTCAATGGGTCCTTCTTTCCTCACTGATTTTTAAATACCTCCTTAAAATACACTGTTCCTGCGTATAAATGGATCTCTAGAATTTCTGTCCTGCTGATCTGTGTGCATATACCGTATTTTATAGCATGATTGATACAGCTCCCTCAACCCTGCCCCGCTGTTACTTGAAAATTTCATATTCTCATATCTTAACGTAAGAACTTTAGATTTGTTAATTTTCATTTAAAAGTCCTGTTGAGATTTTCATTGTCGTGGATTTAAATCTCAGTTTGATTTGGAGAGAAGTGCTGTCTTAACAGTTTTGAATCTTCCTATCCAGAAATGAGGTATTACGTTCTTTTGTAAGGTGTTGTGTTCAGATGGGTCTTTCACGTTTCTAGTACAATTTAGTCTTAAGGAGTTTTAGAGTTATTTGTTGTTACGAATGAATTTTGACATCACACTTCTAACCATCACTGGCATATAGGAACTCATCTCTGTGCTCACCTAAGTGATCTGATTGAATTCTCTAATTCTAAGTAGTTGAGTTGATTCTCTTGGCTTTCTGGCTAAAGAGTCAAGTCATGTAGAGGCAGATTTATCTGATCCTTTATGCTCATATCTTTTTCTTGTGACTTATAGAGGCCAGGACCTCCAGTATAATGTTGAACGGCACCCTTATTTATTCCTCTCATAGCGGGAATGGTTCTCATGTTTCATCAAGAAATAATTCTTCTGCCAACAGGTGGCAGGATGGCTCAGCTAAAATAATAATAATTCTTGGGGCGTCCTGTTAGCCCAGGTGATTAGAGCGCAGGCTCATAACACCAAGGTTGCTGATTCAGTGCCCACATGGGCCAAGGAGCTGCGCCCTCCACAACTAGATTGAAGACAACTACTTGACTTGGAGCTGATGGGTCCTGGAAAAACACACTGTTCCCCAATAAAATTTCTTTAAAAAAAAAACCAAAATGAAATAATTCTTGCTTTAGGTTTCTGGTAGGTGACCTTCATTAGGCTGGAGGTGTTTCCTTCTGTTCTGGCTTACTGAAGGCTTTTTTTCCTTTATGCAACTTGATGAATTTTGACATCTATTGATTTTATTTTATTGTTCTGATTTTCATTAATAGGTTCCCTAATGTGGACCATTCTTACATTCTGATGTAAACCCTGCTTAGTTTTATAATATTTATTTAGAATTTTATATCTTTCCTTGGGCCAATTTAACTTTCTGTTTTATTGATTTCTCTGTCCCATTTTGATAACTGAACTATGCTACTGTGTAGAATGGGTTTAGAAACATTTAATCTTTTTCTCCAGGTTTGAATAATTTGTAGAAAAGGAATTATTTGTTTCTTCAAAGTTTGTGTTGGATGCCTGTCTTTTTTTTTTTTTTTTAAAGATTTTTATTGGGGAATTGGGGGGATGGGAACAGTGCTGGGGAATTGGGGAAAGGGGAACAGACAAGTTGCTGTCGTTTTGTTCTTCAATCTAGTTGTGGAGGATGTTGCTTCACTGGCCCAAGTTGGCACCATCATTGCGCCCCTCTCTGGCGAGGCAGATCAGTCGCCGGCTTCTGGACGGCCGCTCACTGCGGCTGCTGGCCGCTCACGCTGGCTGCTGGCCACACACGGTAGCCCATGGCAATCCACTGCCACAGGGACTGCAGCCCACGCCGTCGCCGGCGACTCATGGCAGCCCAGCTCCAGGTTGAGCTGTTGTTCAGCATCTTAGCTGTAGAGGGCAGTGTCACTGGCCCTCATATGTGGGATCCGAACCGGGGCCCTCTGGCATCCCAAGCGAGTTCTTAACCATCGCGCCACTCGGCCGGCCCTTGGATGCCTGTTTTAGGGGTAGATCTTCGTCTTTTAATTTCTTCTCTGGCATTTTATATGCTCAAGTTTTCTATCCTTGAGTCAATTTTGGTACCTATTTCTTTTTAGAGTCATATATTCCATGTATATTTAAGCCTTTTGGGGCAAAAACTCATGTGCAATAATTAATTTGTATTATCTGTGACTTCGTTACTTACAAGTGACAAAATCTAAACTGCAGAAGCAAACAGCTCGTTGGCCAGCGTTAGGCAGAGCTGACCCTGGGCCCGCATCGTTTGTCAGGACTCTGTCCTTGTTTGTTTCTCAGACCATCTCTGCTCCTCTTGGTTGATCATCCCTTTCTTCCTACAAGTGTTTTCTGCAGGAAGCTCCACCTTACACTTGGTCCTTACAGACAGTTCCTTCGTCAGGATCCATGTATTTCAAGGAAGACCAATGGGTCCTGCTCAGGTTACTTGTCCTCTCCTGAGCAGTCGTGTTGGCCAGGGCAGAGTTGGGGCGGTGGAGGGGAACTTGGGGAAGGCAAGATGAGCCACACCTGAGCCATATGAAACGTGTTTCCCATGGAATAGAGAGGCTCTTATACCAGAAAAAGGGGCAAGGGGTGAGAGGATATCAAACCAACGAACATCTGTGTTCTGTGTATTTTGTTTTCCTTGACTCAGCTTTGCAAAATGTTTACTTTATTGGCCCTTTCCTTTGGCCTGCTTCTTTGGATTTGTTTCTAGCTTCTGAGTTGTATGTTTAGTTAATTTCAGTTTTGCTTTTGAATATATTTAGGGCTATAAGTTTTCCTCTAAGTACTCCTTTGACTGTTTCCCACTTGGTGTGATTTATTTTTGGCATCATGTCTGTAAGCTTGGCCTTAGGTTTTCCTCCAGCTCTCAGTGATTCTGTGACTTACCTAATAGTCTCTTTTTTTCCCCCCAAAACCTTTTCATCTCCACGTCTCCATCTCTTGTCAGCCATTTAGCTCCTGTGGGTTGTAGCTCAACCCCAATGGAGACAGAGTCCTTGTATTCTGCATGCTACTCCCTTTGTCATTCTTTGAAGCTGAGAATTCATCTCTGTTGCCCAGATTAGTGGAGGAATCCAACCTTGTGTGAATAAATCTCCCAGAATGAACTGAGTGTTCTAAGAGCCCCTGGTCCCACGGTGCCATGGCCAGGCCTGTGATCGGTTGCCTGACAGTACTGACCCATACTGCAGTTAGGTTTGAGATGTTTGGCCCTTCAGACTGCACTTCTATCACTTTAGGACCAACCTTTACAGCCAAGCCGTTTCTACCAGGGCTTCCCCAGCTCACTTTTCTCTTGTCATCCAGCCACTCGTATATATGTGCCAAGGAGCACACATGGCAATCTGAGCTAGTCACATGGTTTTTCTCCTTTAATATGTAAATGTGGTGAGGTATCTTGACACAGTTTCTAATGTTAAAACATCCTTGCATTCCTAGAATGAGTCATGGTGGATATTTCAATATATTGCTGGATTTGGGCATCCAGGTTCATAAGTGAGGTGATTTAAGCTTTTCCTTTCCTGTACTGCTCTTGTCTGGTTTTTGTATCAAGGTTATGCCAGCCTCCTAAAATGAGTTGATTAGCAT